AGAAATTACAGCAATAATGTTTACAAAGAATAAAAATAGAACAATAAAATAGAAGCCTATTTAAAATTGAATTACCAATATTGTGATACATTAATTAAAATTAAAGTAATGCACTTTTATAGCAACAATAAGATAATATATTTTTTAAATACTCTAGGAATTAATATATATGTATATTCCTAATATGCATGAAATATTGTGTACTTACATTTTTATTAGGTATCTCGCGTGACATAGTGTTTCCGATGCCGAGGCAAGACCCTCTTGTATATCGATTTATGTATTGTGGAAGAAACCATGATACTCTCTTATTTTTTGACGGGTCATATAAATGTTCGTGATTACCAAATTCTATTACTTGCGCATCGCCACATATTCCTTTAAATGCAAAGATATTGTATTTTTAATGCATGCAAAATCGAATACATGTATTTAAATAAATTTGAAAAATGAATTTCGATTTCTTACCTGGTGCGCGAAGAAAATACGGAGGGGCCAACAGATCAGGACATTCAACTACACTGGCGGCAACGTGATTAAAGTAAGGAGCCAAACCATACTCCATAGCTATTATGACATAATATAATACAAAGACATATATAAGGTATACAATACTGGTAGTGTCTTCTAGTTAATTTGCACAATACTGGCGGTTTCAGCAACCGTGCAGTAAAATGCCTGGTGCAGTTCGGATCCATTCTTCCCTCTTGTCAAACAAGGATCTTGATTTATTTCAAATAAGTTTCTATCAGCCGATCTGTTAGAAAATACATTTTTTCGGGACAGGTCGCCTTGTTATCTTTTAGAGACAGCTCTAACATAAATAAATGACACACACATTGTCAAGTACAGAATGGTCAGACCAATTTTCTACATCTGGATCCGAATAGATCCAGGCATCGTTCGGCGATGGTTAAAGTATTACACATATATCATGTACGTACCAGAGACAAGTTCCTCGAGATCAGGTTGATGCAAGCTGCATGTCATATCTATGACTTCTGGGAAATTATCATCGTTTTGCATATTTACGTTGTCATACTGCATCCTGCATCTTGCCATCTTGTATTGTGCTCAGCTTATCAGAGTTGATATAAAATTATTAAATAAGCAAATTTAATTAAAACGTAACGTAATAATTGAAGAATTAATAAATTTGAGAGATTAATAATTAAAGAACTAATAAGAGAATAGTTATAATGTAAGGATAACGCTGATTAAAATAATAAAAAAGTATTAATAATAACGCAATATATAAACCATAATTATGTTACAATGTTGTAGAAAAATGTAATTATTTTAACGAGTCATATTAAAAATCATCCAAGCAATAAATGGATTCTGTATAAATTGTAATGGCATTTTAAATTTTAACAAATTCCTTTTGGGATAGAAATATAAAATTGAACAAATTATTTTTATCAAAAGTTTGAGCTTAAATAAAATTTGATTTATTCATGTTTTTAACTAACGCATTAATTTTTGTAAATTATATTGTAAAAATGTTTCGCAAAGGAAACAGTGCTTTACGTGTCGAGTCTTTTTTCTCTGTTCTTTCCTTTAACCGCTTTAACAGATGAGCAGTTGACATAATTATATTTAAGCAGAAGGAGAAAGAGAGAAAGAGAAAGAGAAAGAGAAAGAGAAAGAGAGAGAGAGAGAGGGGGGGGAGTTGGGGAGTAGATATAACTTTCATAACATAATTCAAATTTGTGTGTTGGAAAATGTACGTGTTGTGGAATACATTAAATAAAACGTATTTTAATGATAGAGCAATACTGATGATTTGACGTGATGTTTCACATAACATTTTACGTACCTCGGTAACATGATTTAATGTAGTGAAAGGAATATTAGTTATACATTTGAACATCATGCATGGATGTACCTAAATATATGAGGATTTATAATGGGGTTTATACTTACTGCAAAATACGTCGTGAGAGAAATAATTGCAATTGCAGAGAGATGTTTAAATCTGAATTATTCTACCAAATCGTTAGAGAGTGATGTTATTCCTTTCGCAGAACACACAAGATTGGTAACTGCAATGAAACATTTGGCTTGGTAAGAATGTGTTTTCCTTCCAAACATAACAGAAGGTATGTGGCAGTGGCTTATATACAAATATAATGTCCTAAAGGTCATAAACTAATGAGGAACAGGTCGAGTTTTGTCGAAATTTTTTCAAATTAATGGTTAGCGCCGCCGGCGTCTGATGTCGATCGAGCTTTGTTTCGCACAGTCAACGTACTCGTCGATATTATATTTGTTTTATGAGAAATGGACCCTTATTATTTCATCAGATACATAACTGTCTCTACTTGCCTCTGTAGTTACTCGTCGAAAAATAAACTTTTGTACCTTTTTTTCTTTGTCCCTGTTGCTTTGTGCGAACAAAACTTGCAGGTACACTTTTATTGCCGAAATTACTGCTATTACCGATAAAACGCTGACGGATATTGAAAAGCACTAAGCGCAAGAACCCGACATTCTTGAATCAATTTTCCTTGTCTTCTCTTTTTTTTCCTCTTTACCGAGTGAAATGCGACGATGCTGACGCTGACATTGTCCAACAAGAGTAAGTTATTCAATGGAAGCATTATGGCTTAACAATTTTTTAAGGGGGCATATACACCTAGAATGGTGTATGGAATGGTTTATGGAATTTTTGCAGTTTTCGTTTGCGTTTTCGCAATTTTCTTGAAGCTTAGGATCTGAAGAATATGTGGTGACAATTTCAAGTAAATATTTCAAGAAATAACTAAGTTATGGAAGAAAGAGTGCACGCTTTTGTTGGACGCGCGCCGTGCACGTTTCTCAAACTGGTACCCAAAACATCTCGAAAACCACTGAACCGATTACCTTGAATTTTTGTGTGCTTATTGTACACATAATTATCTAGTTTTTGTCGTAGGATTTTTTTTTATTGCTTACTTTTTGTTTTATGGGCAAATTAAGAAAGAATTTTTCCTTCAAAAATTGCAACGTTAAATTCATATGTTCGCCATTTTGTCAAAAATTGATATTTTCAAAATTGGCTACGACGAAGACTAGATTATAGTATCTATTTTAAGAATCATTTTGGTTTTTTTGTTTTAGATGATTTTTCAAGAAATGGAAATGGGTACCATTTGCGGTAATTTTTTGGTGACGCTCCGAAAAAATGTTACAACTTTTTTAATTTTGAAAATTTTTTAATAAAAAATTCAAACATATTCTCGAAAGTACGTACTTTTTACTAGAAAAAAAATCCGACTCTAAAATTCAAACAGTTCCTCTAAAAAAAATCCTCAAAATGACCTTTTTTTCCCGCTCCTAGGTGTATATGCCCCCTTAAGTTGATTGTCTTCTTGAACAATTGCATAAACCATTTGAAATTGAATGTCTTCCGGTTTTTATGTTATGCATGGTTACCGATCTTTTTCAATTAAGTCATACAAAATTATGTCATAAGAGCTAATCGATCCATGTTACTGATTAATCCAATTATTTTTGAGAGTTGCTTTTTGTATATTGTGATGAATAGTCTCAAATTGTTATGCGACATTTGTTTTAATTATATATTTATGCTAGAAAAAAGAGATAAAAACTTTTATTATAATATTTTGATAATATCCAATTTTTTAGAAATACATATTTCGCCTATTGTATGTAAACGCCAATAAATAATCAAATATTTAACTGAAAGATATGTTTATTACTTGTTTGTTTGCACTATTAATTAATTAAGAATTATAAAATACATAGTCAACTTAATATCAGCAAATTATGAGCGCCGATTAATTCAATATTTGTACATAATGTAATTCAACTGATCAATAAAAAATGAAATAAAGTATTTTTTTATCTGAATATGTACATCCGCATGTTATTGTGGATATGTATAAATTATAATTGAATATTTATAGCAACATTCAAACTATATCGATGCGAACTTTATTTGCCTTTTGGAATAACGTAAGCTTCATCACTACCTTCGCAAGTACTTGTAATAATAAAAAATGTCGTTGTCTCACGAAGATCGAAATCGCGTTGTATTCGAGCCCAGCCGACATTGCCGTGATCAGCCACGATTTCCATCAAGAGATGATTTTGACGACGAACTTGCCCTTATCCTTGAGCAAATTTTCCTTTCTTTTATTCTCAAAGAGTACATTTTATATAATTTAATTTATCTATACGCATATCTACATAAATATATTTAAATTTGTGGCATAATGTGCAACAACGCACACATTTTACAGAAAGAAACACGAACGATTAGTTACATTATTAGATTATAAATTTAGATATATAGACTATAAATCAGTCTCTTATAAAGTCTATTAATTTTCTATACAATTTTCAAATATATTTCTTAGTTTAAAATAAAAATAACTTGATATTGCTTAAAAAAGGAAGTTTAGTATCTCAATAAAAACGAAATTTACGAAAATTATCAAACGTTTATTATTCTAATTCTAAATTATTAGTATTTTGACATTCTTGACAATAAACATGTGAGAACCATAACATTATATACGCAATTGACTTTCATTTCAGAAGAAGAATTTTCGATTCTACTCTCATTTCTTTATTTTCCTCTCTAGTTTTCCCTAATTCCATAAGTACTTAGCAAGTTGTATAACATGCCACGAAATCGGAAACACGTGCGAATATAAATGTCAATACAATGCATTCAATATATCGGATATGTCGCGACTTTTTAACTCTTAGTCGAAACTATAATTTGTTTTAGTTTTATAAAAAAGTTATAATATTATAAAATGCAGTTATATAAGTCGCTGTCAGATGCTGTTGCAACATAAGGAATAAAGTAATCCAACCAATCTTTCTTTTTTTTTAAGTTTGTTAGTGTTTTCTTGTTACTCAGCACATTAATTAAAATATAAAATATTTAATTTCTCTTTTATTTGAAATATGTGTATGTTAAAAAAATATTTGTGTTATTTCATTGCATAATTTATCAAAATGTTTCTTACCTCGGATTTAAAAAGGTACTAAATGTAGATCTTTTTTATAAATTTAAAAAATGCCTAAAAAAGGAATTTGACTTTGTTAAGTGTTAAAAATTCTATTGTTTTAAGAGGAATAAGAGTAGTTTGTATAAGATTTCATTTATAATATTATCAGCCACGTTGCTTGGAAGACAGAAATAGAAATTAAAAATCAATTTCCTCCTTCACTTCACCACTTCAGCTCCAACGCGATGGAGCTTAGACACTACATTGAAATATCCTCTGCATTCTATCTCATGTGCACTGGTACTTGTAAACAATCTACTACCCTTGAGTTGTTCGTTAGGGTTCCGTAATATATGGCTACTGAGCGCGTTAACCGTACAAAACTAAAAAGTATGTAATTTATGAATTTTTCACAATGTATCAGTTTTGAGACTTAAATATGTGTATAACGTTAACGCCGAAACAATCAGCAAAACAAGCGCATAAAATTTATATGTATAACACTGATACGTTGATCGTGATGTGTAATTGGTGTGTAAAAGAATTACAATTTGATAAGAATAATAAATAATTGTAGAGATATTAAAATTTATAACTTAATGTCGATTTGAACGATGGTCGATTTGAACATAAAAAGTATATAATACAATGACTTAATTACCTTTTCGTGATATAAACGTTCGTTATGTATAATATTTAATTCGCTAAAGCTGAACATTGTGCCATGAACTACCACAGGTGCGGAAATTTCGAAATTACGGTTCCATCCATTAATTTCTTCCTTATTTTGCAACAGAGTTTGCGAAAAGGTTCGTGGCATAACGGAAGCTAATACCTTTCCACTGGTTATAAAAAGCAGTCCGCTCAAGCCTGCAAGACCAAACACAGAAAATTCGTTTATCTGTTACGATGTTTAGAAATTAACTATTGATTACTGTGATGATACTTTTTTTCTACTAACTAGATACATTTGATTAGGTTCCCAGGTAGCAGACAATCGTCATAATAACGTGATTCTTACGTCATTTTATGACGTATGTTACGTCATTTATTCTTAAAGTTTAACGTAAAAATGACGTATTTTTCACGGTCCTGAGTTACATTCCAAAGACGTCATTTTCTGACGTTTTATTGACGGCAAAAATAGGTTCAATGTACGACATACCGGTTTCTAGAAATGTTTTTTATGAAATTAAAATTTTAAAATGTCTACTTGATAAACGTTTATAAAAAAATGTTCTTTTTCTTTATCTAAGAAAAAAAAGCTTTTTTAACTGTTTCGTTACATGCCATGTGCGTATAGCCACTCTCAAGGCGGTCACCCATCCTAGTACAGTACCGCGTCCGAGGCTGCGTTCCGATATTCACTGTCAGTACTGAAAATCTATAGTGTACGTTACGTAAACTATAGATTTTCAGTACTTGCAGTAAATATCGGAACGCAGCCCGAGTCGCTTGACTTCGATGATCCAGTGGACAGTGACGATCTTCTCATCCTGATGCTTCGATCCTTATTAACTCCACTTGTCTATAACAGGTACATCTTTAAAGTGTTCAAAAATCTTGTAATGATATCTTCTTGATAGTTATAACACTGCATGAAATAGTTGTCATAAAACTATAATTACACACGCAACTAGATCCACTTATACCATAAATTCACCACGTCAATCATAAAATTACGAAACACTTTATAAATGTTGGAATATTCCTGTGAAAAATACTGTGAAAAAATGACGTAAGAATCACGTTATTATGACGACTGTCTGCTACCTGGGAAGTCAATTAAACGTCTATATAATGTCATTTTACAAAGTCTTTTTGACGTATTAAAACATGACGTTAAATATACGTCCCTTAATCGACGAATAACGTTACTGACCAATTATGACCAAATATTGACGTCAAAATGACGAGTGCTTGCTACCAGGGTTGTATCATACCGACACGAGCCGTCGTATCAGCATCAGCTATTAAGTAATGAAGGCGAAGTGAGGCCCGGATTACGTTTAAGATTTCCACATTAGGGTCGCGATTTCCTTTTACGTACACTTCAAGGACCTTATCCTGCTTGCCATTGCAAACGTAAACGCTACCATAGAGATCGCAATATACAGGACCCCAGGGATGACATTGCGTTTCGACCTGCCCTTCTTCGTTTAGAAAAATATAATTGCTTTCCTGCTCATTGAGAGCAATTAATTGTTCTTCCGATTCCGACGAATGCATAAAGTTCATACCGACCTGTAGCAGAAATTACAGCAATAATGTTTACAAAGAATAAAAATAGAACAATAA